CCCGCCGGCGGGGCGCCCGCGGCCCGCCGCCGCGCGGCGCGACGCGCGGGCTAGTGCACGGGCGTCGCGGCCCTCCCACCAGCGGTCCTGGATGTCGTCCATGTATCGCGCCACTGCGGCCCACGCGCGCAGCAGGCCCATGTAGATGGAGCGCGCGGGGAGGCCGGCGCCCAGCGAGTCGCCAGAGGACATGGCCTGGTGGGGGCGGGTCGAGGAAGACAGCGGCGGTGGGTGACGGGCGCAAGTCGTCTATCAGCCAGGACATCACCAGGGACGTTGGGGGGCAGGGGCGGTGGGTTTTGATTCTGCTCAAGGGGCGCGATTGGTCAAGCCTACGATTTACCCCAAGCCGTGCAACTCACAGCACCCCTCCACACACACGAACGCACGCACGCACGCACACACACGCATACACTGCGGCCAACCCTGCAATCAGCCCAGCAGGCGTGCGCACCTCCACCAGCCCTAGGTTGAGCACCGTGCGCCACGCCGCATCCGCCGCCTCGTCAGCCACCAGCCCAGCCACCCCCAGCCGCCCGCTGCAGCCGGGCAGCCCCAGCTCGATGCCGTCCTCCCAGTCGCTGCCCTCTGCCCCCTGGGCAGCCTCCTCCCCTCCTGCCTCCGCAGCCGCAGCTGCTGGCGCCGATGCTGCCGCTGCGGGGTCATCTGTGAGCGCTTCAAACAGGGAGGCATAGCCGCCCTCGGCAAGCCGCAGCTCCGCGGCTGGCAGGCAGCCGCCGTCATCGTCCGGCAGAGTGCCATACTCCGTGGCGCCGGCACCCGCGGCAGTGGCGTTGGCACCGCCTGCCGCCGCCGCGTAGCTGCAGCCGCCAGGGGCGAGGTGCTGATGGAGCTGGTCCAGGGGGCCTGAGAAGCTGCAGCCATAGGGACGGTGCGGGCAGTCCCGCCGCGCCGGGCAGTCACGCAGCGCGTGCCGCCGCCACTCCCGCCTCGCCACGCTCCCGCCGCACCCGCTGCACGCCGCCGGCTGCCATTCGCAGCTGGCCGCGAGGTGCAGGTCCATCGCGCTGGCGGGCACGAGCGCGCCGCAGCCCGCGGCCGCGTTGGCGCACGGCACGGGCCTGTCCGGGCACTCTGCCGCGTGGCCGGCGAGCTCCCGCCGCAGCGCGACCAAGCCGCAGTGCTCGCAGGCCGCCGGCTGCGAGGGACACTCTACGCGGAGGTGCTCTGCCACGCGGCCGCGCGCCATGAGGGCGCCGCAGCCTGCGGGGGCGTTGGGGCAGCGGACCTGCAGCGCGTCTAGCTGCGCCTGCAGCACGGCGTCGTGGCGCAGCTGGGAGTAGCGCAGGGGGCGGCGGCAGTAGGGGCAGGAGCAGGCCTGCATGTTGCGTTTCTGCGTCTCAAACCACTGGTCCATGCACTCCTGTATTGAAAGAATTTACGGGAGTACAAAATCTCAACAGGGGGCCGCGGCACGCGTGTCGTGGGTGGAGGCGTCGGCAGCGGTGATGCAAATCATTTGTCTGCGAAGCACGGGGCTCGTCAGCAGCAGGGCTCGACAGTTGCGCAGCCGCATCCTAGGCAGGAGGTGGGACAAGCAGCTGCCGCACTGAGGCTGCTGAACGCTGCGTATCGCACACGCGCGCCAACGGGCCCAGTGCATGCGCAAATGGTACAAATGCTGCCGCCTGACAGTGCCAATCAAAGGCACACACGGCCGCAAAGCGAGTGCAATCGAGCGCAGCGCCTGCATGACCGCGATGCTGCGGACGGAGGCGAGCGGCGGCACTAGGGTCACGAGCATCGCGCCCCACCTTGCAAAAAGTCGCGTTGCACTGCGGGCATCCCCTATGCGTGATCGCTGCATCGTGGCATACGCCGCACGTCAGGTGGGGCGGCAGCGAGGCTTCGTCCGCCGTGTAGGAGTAGTGAGGCCTCATCATGCCAGCTCTATCGCCTCCGTAAGTGCGGATGAGTAAGTTTTACAGTCTTGTTTAGTGAACGTCGCGAGCTACCCGACTCGTAGATCGCGCGCAGATCGCAATGATGGAGTATGGTATCCCTGTGCTTTCGAGTCCCACCACGACCACTCCATATCTCAACCAGCCGACCCTGCGACTGGGCGTGCCTCGGCTGTCACGCCGCCAGACCCCGCCGGCTGGTGCTCCAGCACCTTCCTTGTTCCGGTGATGACCACTGTCGAGGTCGGTGGGTAGGGCCGAAGTGTGCGGTTGTGCCGACAGGCAAAAGCTTGAAGAAAAGTGACCACCTGGAAGCGAACTAGCTGTTGCAGATGGCAGTCAACTCATTTTGCACACGCAGTCAAAAGAGAATTCGACTGACGTTCTTGCGCCATGGCCCTGCAGCGTCCAGGCAACGGCAGGGTCAGCAAGTTCTTGCAGCTTGCATGAGGTGCGCGCGGCGCTGTTTGCCGTCAAAATGGGGAAAGCCGTGCGTAAAAGTGCGCGCCTCAACACGCAACCAATGGCAGTGACACATGCACCGGTCGAACAAGCCATGCCCGTCCCCGGGCAACACTCATCACTTACAACTGACGGATTGCGACAAGATCTTATGTAGTTTACAGTGGGTGTCGCAAAGCAAAGTGCAGCTGTATGTGTCGAATACGACGTGCTTGATTCTTGACGAGCAACACAGCACGAGCACCTGGCGCACCTCTCTGCTCCACCCAATACTTGAATTGCTTTACCACTTGATACTTTCCCAGCATAACCAGGCACGCATCACTCCTCGACCGACCCCGGCATGCGCTCCGCCAGCTGCACCACCATGCTGAGCCGCTTGCCGTCGCGCAGCACGTCGCAGCGCACGCGGTCCCCGGGACGCTTGTCGTCCAGCGCTGCAATCAGCTCGCTGGCGGTGCGCACAGGGCGCGTGTCGATGCCCACTGCGCGCGGCGTACGTCAGGGGGTGGGGCGGGAGGCGGGGGGAGCGTCAAGGTGGGCAGGGAGGGGCGAGTCAGACGCTGCCTACCTAACCAACCGCTCAACTCTTTTGGGCAATGGAGTGGCAGGGACGTGCGCGTGCGTGCCTTGCGATTCGGCTGGAGTTTTGCGACACAGCTTGATTGGGAGCTCCTGATGTCATCGGCCGCACCAAGCCGTACACTGTTCCTCCTCTCAAGTCATGGCCCATGCAAATCCCAATTGTTTATCGCCAGCCGGCCTCTCACCCACGATGTCCCCGAGAACCACATCCCCAAATACGTCGCGATACGTGGGCCTCAGCCCCGCAGCCGCCGCGGGGGAGCCGGCCGGCACCTCCAAAATCAGCACGCCGTCCACACCCAGGCCACGCAATACCTGGATGAGGGGCGTGTGTGTGTGTGTGTGTGTGCGAGTGTGTGGTGAGAGTGTGGTGTGTGTATGTGTGTGTGTGTGTGTGTGTGTGTGCGCGCGCGCGCTCGGGCATGTGCGTGATGGCCCGAGGAGAGCAGCGGTGTGGGCTAGGGGTGCAAGGAAGTGGGTCTTTCTGGAAAAGGCCGGAGCTCTGGATGCACCTGCCGTCATGGCTACAGTGGATAGCAGCTGCAGGCGGCACGGATGGCCTGGCGCGCCCCAACCAACGCATGCACGCACCCCATGGCGGTGTCTGGTCCAGCGCCGTCATCCAAGTGAGTCGCCGCGTCGGCGCTGCCGGCCACACCCACAAAGACAAGGACGCCCACAATCGCAACTAGACACACACGGCCCATTTCTAGTGCACGAGTTCGTCTAGGTACTCACCTGCTGCGGCGCCAGCACCACCCCCATGGAGGGCCTCTTGACGCGGCCGTGCGCCAGCAGCTGCTCCACTATCCGGCGCACCGCGTCAATGGGCACGGCATGGCCCACGCCCTGGGGCCCCGCCCTGGCCCCAGAGTCGGGGAGTGCGATGGCCACGCCCACCACGCGGCCCTGGGCCCAGCGCAGGGCAATGAGCAAAGTGGAAGGGAGATGTCGGGTTAAGCGCAGGTTGAACGTATTGAAGAAGCAGCAGCAGTGCAGCAGCAGCAGTAGCAGCAGCAGCGGCGGCGGCGGCGGCAGCGGCAGCAGCGGCGGCGGCAAGTGCACGTTGGTGAGCACGCAATCGGAGGCATTTGCTGCTGCCAAGTCGCATGAGGGAGGAGCAAGTGGGCTCTTTACCCACAGCCTGCACCACAGACACACCAAGAGCGCACCCTGGAGTCCAGGAGCGGCCCGCCCGAGTTGCCGGTGTTGATGACGGCGTCCGTCTGGATGGCGTTCTTCAGGGCCCACAGCCCCGCACCCATTTCGCGCCCCAGGCCGCCCACAATACCCTGTAATGTGGGTTGGCGGGTGCGTGTGTTGTTGTATTACATGACAAGCATCACACGACCCATCCGCCTGCGCAAGCCGGCAACAATTAGCGCACGTACATGTGCCATTCGGCTGGCTACTGGCTGAGGAGAGCATCCCGGAGCCGCTCCGCGCTCACTTGGCTCAGGGTGTGCTCCAGGCCCCAGGGATTTCCCAGCACCCAGACCCACTGGAATGGGGGGCAGGGAGTTGGGCGAGGCGGAATGGAGCTGGGTTTTGGGTGGATGGGCGAAAATGGGTGTGGCAGGTGACAAGATGAGTTGGAGTGTGCACAACAGCGCAACTCAAGGAAAGGGAATGATGGAGCCACGTGCGCACGCAGGACAAGGTGCAAGCCCGATGAGACGATACAGCTAGATCCTGCTGAGCAATTGGTCGCTGACTCAGCAGTTGACGGCTGTGCGATGACACAGCCAGCCGTCACCCACCTGCCCGATCCGCAGCCCCGCACTGCTGCCCAGCACCACCGGTCGCAGCGCCTCGGTCCGCGTACGAGGCAGCGCCAGCTGCAGCACAGCGATGTCCGAGGCAGGGTCCGCGCCCACGACGCGCGCGGTGGCGGTGGTCTGGTCGTGCAGGGTAACCTTCACCTCGGACGCGCCCTTGACCGTGTGCGCCGCAACGACGACATGGCCTGGGCATGGGGCAGACGCCACCCGGCATGGGCCATCCAGGATGACATGTTGAAACGGGAGTGGAATTTGCCGGCCTGCGAGGCGTGCCACCATGACGCCAGCCCAGCACCCCTACCCAGCGCGGCTGCGCCGCTCGCATGCTGCCTTCACACCCGCACGCGCACCCATCTAGCCAGCGCACCCAATCCAGGGCCCTCCAGCTGCCCCTGGCCCCCCCGCCTTGCGCCCCAGTCTCATAGGCGCGCACGCACCGGCACGGTCCCACACGAAGCCGCTGCCCTGGCCGACCGCCATGCGGTTCAGGTCCAGCGTGAAGAAGTGGTGCATGCTGCGCACGTGGCTGACATTGACCACCGACGGCCGGTTTGACTCGAATATCGTGACCACACGCCGCTCGTGCGGCAGCAGCTCGTCCGCGGCCGCAGCCTGCTGCTGCGCCTGCTGCTGGTCGCCACCCGCTGCGGCGCCGCTGGGCGTGGGGCCGGCGCCGGGCGCCGGCTGCTCCTGCTGCGGGGCTGCGGCGCCAGCATGCTGCTGCTGCTGCTGTTGCTGCTGCTGCTGCTGCTGCTGCTGTAAAAGGACCTGCTGTGCCCGCAGGGACTGTTCCCGCAGCTGGGGCGACACAGATACACTGGGCGGCGGCTGCAGCGGCCCAGCTGAGGCGACGCGGCAGGTTGGCCCCACCGACGACGCGGCCAGCAGCAGCAGGCTGCCGCCAAGCATCCGAGCGGCGCGCTGCAGCCAAGGTATGCTGTTGCTGAGGCTGCTGCTACTGCTGATGCTACTATTGCTAGTGCTGTTGCTGTTGCTGGAGCTGCTGCTGCTGCTGCTCGCATCCCAGACGCAAGCCAGCAAGTCTGCGGAGTGAGTGCCGGTGGCGGTGGTGCGCCGCGCGGGCCCGTCCGAGCTTGTTTGCCATTCATGCTGATGTTGAAGGCCCCTTAGACGACCAGCGTGCTGTCGTTGCTGGTTGGGGTTCCCCGGCGCGCTTGCATGGGGGGCCGCTGCAGCGAGCGTGCGGCGATACAGCGGCAACAGCTGCAGCCCCCAGTGCTGACGGTGCCGAGTGTAGCGTGCGTTAGGTTGAAACCCAACTGTGCGCCTATCACACGGCGCTAACATTCTACTCTGTCAACGAGCTAGGATGGCTGCTGATCTTGCGTTCCGCTTCTTGCCATCTACCAGTTGCAGTGGTGTAGACCAAATTTCGCTTGCAAAGCGATGGTTGCGTTCATCCCTTGTACTGCTGCGGTAACATATGAGCAAGCAGCGCACCTCTGCTCGTATGGTGACTACCGGTGTGTAGCAGCTGTAAGTCTCGGACACTCATGATCTGCGGCCTTTACGTGGAAGGCTGTTTCAAGGGTCAAGAGAGTTTCCGTGGTGTAGAGATGAACAGCACGCTTTGGCACAAGCAGTCCAAATAAGGCGAGGTGAGGGCCGAGCAGCGGCGCCCAACTCAGGATTGGCGCCATTCGCTGTGCCTTCAGGGTGCGGCCACGGGAGGCCTCCGGCTGGCACACAACTCACTTTGCTGTATCTTGGCCACCTTAGGAATATGCTGGCGCCGCCGCGCCCCGCACGAGGGCCCTTCACGGACGAGCTGGCACTGGGCGAGGTGAGCGCGTCGCTCGTTGCGTGCCCCCCAACCCCACGCCAACAACCGCTGACACAAGCTTGCAACTCCCCTGTGCCTGTTTGAATCTGAAAGTATTTTTCCATTGCTACTAACCTGTGCTTTCACCCCTCGCACTGCACGGCAGCCCCAGAGTCCAGGCCGAGCAAAGGAGCCTTTGGTCGCAGCCCCCAATGGACCGAGCGGCGGCGGCGCGGGCGGCGCAGCAGCTGAGCGGGATGAGCACCCCGGCGGCGTTGAATTCATGGACATGCCGCCCCACCGCCTGGGCGTCCAAGTTGACCTGCCTGTCAGCATTGAGTGGGTGCCAGACGCTGACGGGGCGCTGCAGCCGGTGAGCCGCCGCGCACAACGCTCCGACAGCAGGCGCGGCGCTCGCAGGGCGGGCAAAGGGCCGCGGGTGCCCGAGATGGTGGCTCTGGTCGTGGCAATTGCACTGTCACGGCAGCACGCCTGCTGCAGAGCATCCCCAGAGCTTGCAGCACCCTTGTCCCCCCCCCCCATGCTTTCAACTGATGTCATGAATACTTTGAATTGCGCGCATGCACGCCCCCATGCGCAACCGAATCGCGCCCCAGTACGCCTGCATGGACGCCGCCGTCGCCTTCGCCCTTGCCGCTGGCGCCCCTGTCGCGAGCGGTGCGGCGACGCTCCTGCCAGAGGCGCGGCCCGGCTGCTGGTACGTGTACGATTTTGCGCCCTCGCGGCCAGACACCACAGTGGCCGCAGTGCAGCGCTCGGTGGTGGCAGCGGCAGCGGCGCAGCAGCAGCAGCAGCAGCAGCAGCAGCAGCAGCAGCAGCAGCAGCAGCAAGAGCCGCTGAACGGCTCGGCGCAGGACGCCGCGACGGCCGCTGCGGTGGCCGACGCTGCGGACGCTGCCGCGGCGGAGGTGGCGGCGGTCAGGGCGGGGGCCACCCATCTCGCGGCTGCCGAGGCTGCGACGGCGGGGTCAGAGACGTTGGGAATGGCGGGGCCGGGGGCGGCGGCAGCCGAAGGCGTGGGGCCGCTACCATTGCCTGTGGCGTCCCAGGGATTGCTAGGGCAACCCACCAATGGCACTGGCAGCTGCCAGCGTCGCACTCAGGCTGACGGCGCTGCAGGCCCCGCGGCTGCCGCTGCTGACAGGGGGCCGCCAGCAGCGCCTGCGATGACTGGTGGGAGCGCGGCGCCGACGCCGGCCTCGCAACCGGGTGGCGACACACGGGCGGCCTCAGCTGGTTTGATCAGCGTCGCACGCCGCGCCAGCAGCCGGGGCCGCGGCAGGGGCAGAGGGATGACCGTATCCAGTCCGCAGGGCGTGTCGCCTGTGGCCAAAGGCGGCCTTGCTGGAGCGCCGCTGCTTCCGCGCCCCACAGCTGCAGCGCAGCAGCCGCCTGATGGAGACCCAGCTGGCGGCCCATTGTCCATGGTCACAGCAACTGCCGTCACGAGGGAGTCGGCGGTGGCGGTGGCGGCGGCAGCGACAGCGAAAACGGCAGCGGCTACAGCAGAGGGCGCGGGGCCCTGCGACTCGTTGCGCCCTGCATCTATGGAGTTGGATGAGCCAGAACAGCCTGGTAGGAAACTGATGGGGCAGCAGCAGCCGCAGCAGCCGCAGCAGCAGCAGGAGCAGCAGAAGCCGCGGAAGCAGCAGAAAGAGCAGGAGCAGCGGCCAGCGCAGAAAAGGCGGCAAAAGGGGCGGGATGGGCAGCAGCAGCCGCGGGGTGCCTCTGCTACTCGCAGGGTGTCGCCTCATCCAACGCGGCCGTCCGCTGGCCCGGCCGCGATGACTGCCGCTGACGTCGCCTCGACAGGCCCAGCCACCGCCCGGGGCCCCGTGGCCTCACCCCCAAGGCGCACCAGCAAGCGGCAGGTGACGCGTGTCACAGGCAGCGCGGAAGCCGCCGGCACGGCCGCGACGCAGGAGGGCGGCTGGGCGGGGCGCTGCCCTGCTGCAGGTGCAGACGCAGGCGCGCTGCCAGCTGCAGCCAATGCACGGGCGTCGCAGCCGCCGGCGCAGCTTCAGCCCATGCGAATGGGCGAGGCACCGCATGACGGCGGGGCGGCGGTTGTGGCGGCAAGACGGGCTGCAGGGAGCCATGGGAGCGAAGAAGCCGCCGCGCAGCTGCCGGTAGGGCCTTACCTGATTGTCCCCCTGCACCTGACTGGCGAGCCGCTGTGGTGCTCCACCTGCGGCCGCGGCGGCGCGGCGCTCTGCAATGACTGCGGCGCCCGCCTCAGCTCCGCGCAGCGCCCCGTCAGCGCGGCGGCGCTGGCCGAGGTGGCGGCGAACAGGGCGGACGTTCTGGAGCGACTGGGCTGCGGCCCGGCGCAGGCGGCGGCGCTGGCGGCGTCCATAGAAGCCGCGCTGCGGCGGCTGCCGGGCGGCTGGCAGGGGGAGGCGCCGCGGGACCTGGGGCTGCTGCTGTTTGCTGCGCTGCAGTGGGAGGCCATGGCTGGGCCGCCGCCGCTGGTGCGCGTGGACGTGGGCAGCGGGCCCTGCAGCAAGCCGCGGCTGCGGCTGGAGGAGGGGCTGACGACAGAGGCTGAGCTGCAGGCGGGGGGCGCGTGGCCCGTGGGCGCGGAGCAGGACGCGGAGGGCGCAGCAGGGCAGCAGCAGCAGCAGCAGCAGCAGCAGCAGCAGCAGCAGCAACAGCAGCAGCAACAGCAGCAGCAGCAGCAGCAAGAGGAGCAGCGCACAAGGTTGGAGGCGGCAGCGGCCAAGGATGGCAGCGGTGCTGTTGCAGGGGGCCGCAAGCGCCAGCGGCCACAGAGTGGGGAAGCCCGAGAGCCAATGGTTGGTGCGCAAGAGGACAAGCAGCAGGCTCAGCAGCGTGAGCAGCAACAGCAGGTGCCAGCCGCCACTGCTGCTGCGGCGGCGGGGCCCACGCGCGCGCGGCGGGCCGCGTCCAGGCGTGTGGAGGCGGTGCTGGCGGCGGAGGCGGTGTTGGCTGTAGAGAGCGCCAGCTCTGATTACTGGACCTCGTCATCGTCGGAAGAGGATGACTCAGATGACGGGGATGGGGAAGAGGGGGAAAACGGGGAGGGTGGACGGCAGCAGCAGGGAAAGCAGCCGCAGCAGCCGGCAAAGAGGCAGCGGCAGCAGCAGCAGGCCCCCCGCGCCCCGCCCAAGCCGCGTGTCAAGCAGCGGGGCGTGTCGCCGGCCGTCACGGCAGCCGCGCCGGGGCGAGGTAGGGCGGGTGCTGCTGCAGCAGCGGCAGCGGTAGCGGCCGCAGCGCCAGCAGCAGAGGCGGCAGCGGCGGCCCCGGTTGCTCGGCGAGCACGAGCAGCCGCGGCGTCAGCACCGGCGGCGCGAATGCCCCGCCGCAGCAGCAGCTCCGGGCGCCGCAGCGACAGCCCCATGCCAGCTGCGGGCGGCACACCGGCAGCCACGGCCGCGCCGCAGCGCCGCCGCAGCGCAACCGCCACCGCCGCCGCAGCCGCGTCCCCGCCGCCGCCTGGCGGGCCGCCCCAGTACCAGCTCATCCCCCGCAACCTGCGCATCTTCAGCAGCGCGGCCGCGGCGCCGGAACCCGCGCCGCCGCGCTGCGGCTGCGACCCCGCATGCGGCCAGGCCTGCCGGGAGGAGGACGGCTGCATGAATCGCCTGCTGCGCATCCAGTGCGGCCCGGGTCCCGCCGGCTGCGCGTGCGGGGCCGCGTGCCGCAACCAGGAGGTCGCCTCGGGCCGGGGCGCGGCCGTGGAGGCCGGCTGGGCGGGGGCCGCCAAGGGCTGGGGGCTGTTTGCGCGCAACCACATCCCTGGGGGCGCCTTTGTGGCTGAATTTGTGGGGGAGGTGCTGCAGCTGGCGGCGGCGGCGGAGCGGCTGGCGGCGCGCGCGCGGGAGGGGGCGCGCGGCGCGTTCGCCTTTGACCTGACTCCCAGCGGCGGGGAGGTGGTGGACGCGACGCACATGGCGGGGGGCCCGGCGCGATTCGTCAACCACAGGTGCCATGGGGTGTGTTTTGGCGGTTTGGTGGTTGTAGCAGGGACCCGTCGGCAGCCTTGCACGCACCGGGCTGCGGTTTGGCGGTGGCGGCGGGGACTGGCCGGCAGCCACACACGCGCCCTTTCAAGTGCCGCGGTGCAAGGTCATGGCAGCAGCGTTGCCACATCGTCCACGCTAATTGGCTTGAGCTGTGACATCTCCCCTTGAGCTGTCCCATCTCCCCCGCTCCACCAACTGTTGGTGCTCACGCCCCATCCATCCCCTCACACCCACACCCACTGCCACACCCATTGCCCCCTACACCCCGGTGCCCCCGAGCAGCTGCGAGCCCAACTGCGAGTGGCAGAACTGGGACGTGCGCGGGGAGCAGCGGCTCTGCCTCTTCACGCTGCGGGGCGTCACCGCGGGGGAGGAGCTCACGGTGGATTACGCATTCAGGGCGCACGCCACCGCTGAGTCAGCGTGCGCTTGCGGGGCGGCGCGCTGCGCCGGGCGCGTGCCGGAGGTGCTGGCGTGAGGCGGCGGGCGCACGGCTCAAGAGAGGCCCAGCGTGTGCTGGCCGGCTCGGGCTGGGCCCACCACTGTCTCATTGCACTTTTCGCGCCAGATATGATACGCAGGATGTGTACTTGGCAGGCTTTTGACTTGCTTGCGGCGCCTGCTGGTGGTGTTGATAACTAGGTCAATATCCATGGCCCGTGTTTCACAGCCACAACCCCGACAGCAGCAGTCTGGGCAGTTTTGCAGTAGCTGTGAGGGTTTGAAGTTTGCGACGCCCCTCAACCCCAAGCTGCAGACATCCACACGTAAGCGAAAACAATACGTGGCGAAGTATCTTACAGGAGGGCATACGACGACGCGTGGGCGAGCGAGCACGGGCCCCGCCGCCCTCCACGCCTAGACGCTGGTGGCCGCCGCCCCCTCCGCCCCCTCCTCCGCGGGCAGCACCTCCGCTGCGTTGGCGCGGCCCTGCAGCACCCTGCCGTCGCGCGTGATCTGCTGCCACCCTGCGGGTATGCAAAGGGAGAGACGGCGCCGCAGCTTGCTTTTGCCGGCATGCGGCAGGGATGCGAGCGATGCGAGTGCTGTCAAGGCACCATGGCAGAGGAAGTTGGGCTGGCCAGCCAGAGTGCCGGGTGTGATGTCTAGTGGTGGCTGCGGTAACCGCTCCAGTACATCAGCCGGCCCCGCCCAGGCCCCCGAAGCCCAGGGCGCTGGCCACCCACTGAAGTTGCTGTTGGTGTAGACGCAGCAGTCTGCGGCGATGCGCATGGACTTGTGGGCTGCAGGGGGAGGCGGGGGGCGGGTCACGGCGGTTGTGGGTCAGGGGCAGGCCACAGGCCAAGGGATTCTTAGTCCAAACCCCTCTTCCCCAACCCCACCTCCTCTTTGTTCCAAC